TCTGCTTCAGCCTGGCCACAGTCACAACAGTTTCTAGCTATCTCTTGTTCTCTCTCTCTCTCTCTGCTTTTCAAACAAAATAAATACAAACATCTCTTTTCTTCATCTGACATAATAAAAATCATAGGGTAGTAGTGTCAGGAAATGTGCTATCTGATTGTACAGGTAGAAAAGTACACACATCCTAAGTGTACAGCTCAAACTGCACACTCTGTGCCCATTATCTGGGTCAGCAAACAGAATTCCTTTACCCCTCTGCCAGCTGTTAACGACTATTCTGACATTTAACACCATAGGATAATTTTGCCTGTTTTTAAGCATAAAGGGAACACATAGTATGTGCTCTTGTGTCTTATTTTGGTCAACATTATGCTTGTGAGAGTCACCCACTCTTCTGTCTGGAGATGAGTGTGACTGAGGTTGTAGGGGTTCTCCTTCAGGTGGGATGGCTAGGTGAGATGGCCCCTTTGGTTGACTGGTCAGTGAAAGCATTTGTGATGGTCCAATATTAGGAGGATATCAATTCTTACTTTTGGTTACAGTTAAACTTGTTTAGGAAAAAAAACAAAAGACTTTGGGTTCATATAAAGCAAGTCTCAGGATTCAGTGGGCTTCAGGCCTGGCTAGATCTAGGTGCTAAAAACAGCTTTTCTGGAAACCTGTTTCTTATGGCTCTGATTTCTTTGTTGTCTTCATTGTTAGGTTAAGAGTCATCTCCAGGAGTGTCAGTCATGTTGGGCATCAAGTGTGCACTTGGTGAGGAGAGAGAGAGCCCTTCTCCCAATAATTCCAGAGCAGTCCCAGCCCTAACCTTAGGTTGTCTGGGTTTAGGTGCAGGGCCACCTTCAAACAAACCCTGCAGTCATAGATTGGATGGCCTCATTGGCCAAGCTGGGCCATGTGATCTGGGCTGTACGCCCACCTGCATGATGTGGCCTGGGATTGGTGGTAAAAACAATGTACTGCAGAGTGGGTGAGGGTTGGAATGGCTAGGGGGCAAAAGCAACAGAGAGCCATCCAAGGGTTTTTCCAGTCCTGGTGAGAATCGATGAGAAAAATCTAGAGGAAAGAGGCCTGCCCAGCCTGAGGAGCACGGCATGCCAGCAAGGGCTGGACACGAGGACTGTCACCATCATGGCTTCCCACACCAATCCTGGCTCTAGACACAGCCTTGGCTTTCTCTGAGTCTGTCTCTTGCTCATGAAAACAACACGGTAGTTGGGAAAAGGTAGCAGAGGGGCTTGGGAGGAGGAGTGGGGAGGGCAAATGGCAGCCAGACCTTCTGAGCCATCCCGGGGGCAAGAAGCCCACGCAGCAGAGTCGGGTGGGCCCCCCGCCTCCCCAGGCAGCCGGATTGTGAGACATTTGCAAAGATGTTCACCCTGCATAAAAAGTGTGCCGTTCGATAATTATGTAAATTAGCTGGCAATTAGATAATGTCACTCACTTTCCCTCTCCCGCTTGATTCCCACACAACAGATAAGTGTTTGGAGCGTCTGCACCATCCGGGGTCCTCCATGCACGCTTGGGGGCCGACCACCTGCGTCCTCGGCTGCCTCTGCTCTCCTGGGACTCGGGCGAGGGTGGCAGTCAGCTGACCATGGAAGAGACCTCCCTGGCTCCTCTCTTCCCAGTTTTTTGAGCCTGGGGTGCCCTGGCAGAGGGCTAGAGAAAGAGAGGACACATGCTGGGGGCAGCTGACTGGAGACCCGGAATCTTTTTTTTTTTTTATTTGACAGGTAGAGTTATAGGCAGTGAGAGAGAGAGAGAGAGAGAGACAGACAGACAGACAGATAGACAGACAGAGATAAAGGTCTTCCTTCTGTTGGTTCACTCCCCAAATGGCCGCTACGGTCAGTGCTGCAGCAATCTGAAGCCAGGAGCCAGGAGCTTCCTCCTGGTCTCCCATGCGGGTGCGGGGGCCCAAGCAGTTGGGCCATCCTCCACTGTCTTCCTGGGCCACAGCAGAGAGCTGGACTGGAAGAGGAGCAGCCGGGACTAGAACCCGGTGCCCATATGGGATGCCAGTGCTGCAGGTGGAAGATTAACCAAGTGAGCCACGGCGCCGGCCCCACTGACCTGGAATCTTTACTGGGAGGTCATCTCCTTCCTTAGGTCATCTTGGCCCTTTCCCAGGGGCTGTGGCAATGTCATCAGTTGAAGAAAGGGAAGGAAGTGTTTCAGGAGATGGCAGGTAGACCAGAGGGCATCATGTCAAGATAAACCCAATTCTGATGCTTCCACTCCTATAATCAGATTCTGCCTGGTGCCTGGCAGGAACTAAGTATGCTTTTCCTCACTCAGCCATGTTGACTCTCCAGGGTGCAAGACAGGGGAATGCTAGTGTCTCCAAGGGCTGGTCTGCAGGGAGAAGCTCAACCAGGTAGGGACCAGTGGCCACCCAGAGCAGGTTGGGTAAATTCCTATGATCCTCTCTCTCAGGGGAGTGATCCTAGACCAAGGATGTGCCACTTGCCTCGCCCTTGGAGAATATCAGGGGTTCACACCTGCTGTCGCTGCAGGAAATGAGGTCCCACGGAGGCCAATGAGCCACAGGATTGCTCTTAAGCTTCTGTTTGTCCTGTTCTTTCTCTCTGCAAATGTTTCTGGCGCTCTTCCTCTGTGCCCAGGCCCTGTGTAAAGCAGTTGCTTCCCCAAGTAGCTATCCATCAAGTAGTCTGGTTCTAGAGCGAGGGCTCATCACTGCTGTGCTTTGGTGATACGGTTGACAGCACTAGTTTGGGATGCCCTTGAGGATGAAGATGATGGCTCAGTAGTGCCTGGAATGAACCAGAGTTCAGGAAACAGAGGGATCCCTCTCTCCTCTGCCATGTTGCTCTCAACTTGGTTGGCAAACCTCACCATACATTGTGGCCATGTCCCTGGAGACTGGGTTCCATCTGATGATCTAGCCCCCTTAAAGACTGCGTCACATCTCATGATGCGGTCTCCCATTATCTACTTCTGGCCTCGTGCCTTCCACTTACTCCACTCCAGCAGCCCTGGCCTTCTGCAGATATCCCAGCCTGCCCCAGCTATACGATGTTGGCATTGACTCTCACTTCGGGAACATTCTTCCCAGCTATGTACTTGGCTAATTCTCTCACTCAAGTCTTTCCTTAAACATCACCTTCTCAAGGACACTGATTTCTGGTGGTTGCCTGTTTCTGTGGTGTAATTATTAAACCTAATTGGTTTTATCCTACCAAAGTTATGTCAGCCAGCTAAAAAACTCCTGAAATCTTAGCAGTTGGCTCTCCCAAGCCTGTCTGAGTGGGCACCAGCCCCTGTTCCATGTCAAAAAGAAAAAGTTCAGCATCCTTTCGTGGGTGATTCCCAAGTTGCACTTGGAGAAATAACGCTCAGACAAAACTTTTTGTAGGGCAGAGCCTTTCCTTGTGATGTGTTTAATCAGTCTTCTACGGACCTGGGAATGTGTTTGTGGGTAAGGGACAGCATTTCCTCTTCAAAGCAGGGGTGATAGCTAGCTTTGCTGATGGGATCGTTATCAACACAGTGGACAGTGATGTTCCGGCAGAGACCACGGGGAGTTAACAGACGTGCCAGGTCATAGGCAGCAGCTTGTACAGCTCACGCAGAATACACTCACTGCTCGCTTTGGTGGGACAGAGTCTGCCCTGAAAACTGGGTCACACCAGCTGGACTGGGTGACATGCATTTCTGACCATGGTGAAGTACCCTTGAAATCTGTAGCATTTCTTAACCATTCAGTGGCTACCCATTCTGTAGTTTTCATAATTTTGGGGGGATTTGTATTTTTATATATTGCTCTCACTCCAAAGACATACACACACTCATACATACACAGATGCACGCTAACAGCCCCACTTATCCCATCCCTTCCCATTCCAGATATAAGAGGGAAAGGAACTTGATAGTTATTGATCACCTACTAGGTGTGAAGCGTCATGCCAGGATCTGCCCCTGACTGGTCTCAATGAATCCCTTTCTCAGTCTTGGTGAGGGACTATTGCTTTTTTTTTTTTTAACTGTACAAATGGGGAAATAGAAGCTCAAGTTGGTCAAGAATTGTACTTACAGTTCTACAAATAGGAATTGGGATTCAAACTCAGTCTTTTCCTTTTTTTAGCCTCAAAACACAGGAACTCCCCCCCCCCAATGTTCAGCAAGAGATGAGGGTTATTATACTTATTAATCATCTTCTAATCATTTATTTTTACTAACTTTTTTAGGTATTTCTTTCAAAAATTTAGTGTGGGAATCTTAGTCCTCTTTTATATACAAGCAGTGGGTTGCCAAACTGAAAAAGGAAAAACTAAAAGAAAAAAAGTCATTACAGCTTTGAATAGTAATATGAGAGTAAAAGCCATGTTGAGTGTGCAAAATGTTGGCCTTACCTTAAGGAAAAATTTTGGCCTAGCAATTAAGATACCACTTGGGACACCACATTCCATCCTGGAGTCCCCAGGTTCGATTCCCAGTTCTGGCTCCTGATTCCAGCTTCCTGCTGATGTCAACCCTGGGAGGCAGTTGGCCTGGCCCAAGTGGCCAGGCCCCTGCAACCCTGTGGGACATCTGGGTTGAGTTTCCGGCTCCCAGCTTGGCCCTGCCCAGCCCACTGCAGGGCTAGGGAGTGGGGAGGAAACGGTGACCCAGTGCCTGAGCGGCCTCTCTCTGCTTCTCAAAATAAATTATAAATTTTTAAAAAGGTGGCTTTGTGACTCTGTGAAATGCATATAGTAAAAATATTATGCTCATGAGGCTTTGGGGATTTTCACTAACTTTTGCATAGGAAAGCCTGGAGGTGCAAACATTGCTGGGCCTGGGGTCCTACGTGGGCCTGGGAAGAATCTGGGCCCTCCCAGCTGTGTGAAGCACTTGAGGCTGAAGCAGTCATTACCAGGTCCTGGCCCCCAGTCAGCCTCCGCCACTACTGGTGCAATAGGAGGTAGGTTTCCCCTGTCCCTTGGCCTTGAACTCATGCCCCTTCTCTCCTTTCTCCTGCCTTTTCTCCACAGGTGTTTGCTCTGGAGTCCTGGGAGGCGGGTGATGTGCAGGACCGCCTGTGGCTGGCGCCATGAAGCCTGAGTGTGTCCCCGCCCTACGCTGGGCCCTGCTCAGCCTGAGTGCTCAGCTCCTCGTCGGCCTGCTCCCCGCGGCCCACCGCTGCTAGGAGGCAGGACCTCAGGACAGGTCTTGGGCCTCTTGCTACCTCCCCGGCACCGAGGCCCAGGTGAGCCTGGGCAGCGCTCACTCCTCCTCCACTGTGGCGGCCCCAGCCCCGGCCTCAGCCTCGCTGGCTGGGGTGTCCAGTGGTCAGCTGGGAGAAGGGTGTTGAAGAAGCCTTCCTCCTACACTCATGCACTTCTCCTCCTCGCGGCAAGGCCTCCGGATCCACATGGATAGCTGAGCTCTTTTCCTGGAGAAAGACACCTCCCTCCTCATCCCTCTTCCCCACCTGACCTTCCTCCTCTTCTGCTGCCCCCTCCCCCTGCCTTTCTTGCTCCTGATCCCACCTGGGGCTCCCCCTCCTTGCCTGCCCAGCACCTGCCCAGCGTGCCTCCTTCCTCTCCTGTGCGCTCTGTCCCCCATCTCTGTTTTATCTCCCCCTCTCCCTTCCACTGGGAAAGGGAGAGCCTTCCCCAGGGCTGTTTGCTGGCTGGTCTGCTCTGCCCCAGTAGCCACCATGGGCGTCAGCCTCCACTCTGTGTTCTTCACTCTGAAGCTGAGCATCCTGCTGGGCTCCCTGCTGGGGCTGTGCCTGGGTCTGGAGTTCATGGGCCTCCCCAACCAGTGGGCCCGCTACCTCCGCTGGGACGCCAGCACGCGCAGTGACCTGAGCTTCCAGTTCAAGACCAACGTCTCCACCGGACTGCTCGTCTACCTGGACGACGGCGGCGTCTGTGACTTCCTCTGCCTGTCCCTGGTGGATGGCCGCGTTCAGCTCCGCCTCAGCATGGACTGCGCCGAGACCTCCGTGCTGTCCAACAAACAGGTGAACGACAGCAGCTGGCACTTCGTCATGGTGAGCCGCGACCGCCTGCGCACCGTGCTGGTGCTGGACGGCGAGGGCCAGTCTGGGGAGCTGCAGGCCCAGCGGCCCCACATGGATGTGGTGAGCGATTTGTTCCTCGGTGGAGTCCCTGCCGACATCCGGGCCTCCGCCCTGACCCTTGATGGAGTACAGGCCATGCCCGGCTTCAAGGGCTTAATCCTGGATCTCAAGTATGGCAACACGGAGCCTCGGCTTCTCGGGAGCCAGGGCGTCCAGTTGGATGCCGAGGGGCCCTGCGGCGAGCGTCCCTGTGAAAATGGTGGGATCTGTTTCCTTCTGGACGGCCACCCTACTTGTGACTGTTCTACCACTGGCTATGGTGGCAAGCTCTGCTCGGAAGGTAAGGCCCCCTCCCTTCTCTCTGTCTTGCTGCAGGCTTGGCCTCTGGGCTGGAGCAGGGTGGACAGAAGCCAGCTCTCGATGGTAGAGCATCATTAGCTGCCTGTTAGATAATTGGGCCCCTGTCCCTGAGGAGGGTGGTGGAACTCCTTTGCTTGCTCAGGGCTCAGCAGAAAGAATCCTGGCTATTTGACTGTGGGCTTGGTACTCAACTCAGAGGGCAAGAAGGAGTAGACTGGGTCCCGGCACAGCTCCGTCCGCTGAGGCACAGTTTAACACAGGACACAACATTAGGACTTGGCAAAAATGCTTGCCCTGTTCCTCCTGACCCCTTGAGCCTTGGGACCTTGGGGATGGAGGGAAAACTCCCCATCCCCTCCTCTTCGTAATCCCTAGGGTAAGGGATGCCTCTGCAGAGGGCATTGAGGTGATGGACTGCACGGTCCATGCTTGGCCCTGCTGTGAATGCTTTCCAGCCACTGTGGCTTTGCCTCACGATCCCTTGGCAGGTGTCTGCGGAGCGGGTGAGGGCTTCTCACCTGTTCTAACTGTGAAGGTTTCTCTCTGAGGTTCCCCTTTAGATGGGGCTCCATCTCTTGCCCCCTCTGGGTACTGAGAACAGGCACAGGGTTTGGCTGTAGCCATGGTCAGTGCAGCCCTCCAAGGAGCTTATGATACTCCGTGTAGCCTGGAGAACCTCCCAGTGTTTGGTCCAACTTCCCAGAAGGAGGCGAGGGGGGACTCGTGCACAAGGGTTTAGGCTGCCCTCACTTTGTTCAGCACATTCTGCCTGTTTGGATCTGAGAGAAGTGGCCCAGGCTCCAATTTGACAAGCACTGAAACAGCAAATTCCTGGAGCCCTGTACTCAGTAGTGGCTTAGATGTGGGGTAGGAAGAGCCGCTGGAGTGACAAAGTGTGTGAGAACTGACCACGTGGGTATGTATATGGTGGGGGCAGGGTGACAAGGAGGCAATGGAGTTAGATCTCCTCCCACCCTTTTGGGGTGAAGCCCTGCATTCTGCTTAGAGATGTTTTGTGTTGCCGTCAAATACTGGCCTCTTCCTGGAACGGGTGGCTGGGCAGCGGCTCTTACTCTTGGATTCACATTAGGATCACCTGGGAGAATGTAGACACTTTAGGCTCATTAAATCAGTCTCTAGGGGTGGGAGCTAAGCCTCTGTAACTCTTTAAGGCTCCACACATGGGCCCAGTGGGCCATCATGGTTAAGAGCCAACTGGCACAGGGTTGAGGGAGGTCCCGGATGGGAGCAGGTGAATGTCTTGCTGCTGACTCCCAGCAGTCTCCTCATTCAGGTAAGGCCTCCCTGCCCTGGGGCTTGTTAGGAAAAACTGCCTCTGCAGGTGTTCCTTAAATGTTTCCAGAATAGCCCAACCCCTAAAGCAGGTTGTGGTTGGTATGCACTTGAGCTACCAGCAGCAATTTAAAAATCTTTGGTTTAATTTTTTTTAAATGGTGCGTTTCACAGGTGGTAGAGGTTAGAGACTGGGAGACTTTGGGGGTTGTGTTGGAGGCCTTGGGAGTGGTGCCTGCCTGTTTCCTGGGGCCTCCGTGACTCTCCTCTGGTGTGTTGGGCACCAGTGCTCCTCTCCGTGGGTGGGCTGTTGAAGGGACAGAAAGCAGACATCCCTGTGTATGTTGTCCTTCTCTGGTTTCTATTCCCCTGCTAAATTCATGGGGTAAGGGAGTGGAGTAGAGGAGCAGGGGCAACCGCAGCCCACCAGACCGCTTGGGGAATGTGGTACTGAAATGCATCTCACAGCAGGTGTCTTCTGGAGCTGACTGCTTTTCCAAAGCTGCTGGGCTTGGGAGAAAGTTCTGCCCGAAGACGCTGACATGATCACTTGTTTTCTCATTTGCCCAAAGGATCTGTTCTGTTCTCAGAACTTGCATTGAAAACTGGCATTCTTCCTTTCTAGGGACCAGGGTGTCTGCAAGTGTGCTGTTAACTGGCTGATTATCCCTGATTGCATTTTTTGTGTTGAAAAAGAACTCATTTCCTCTGGGCAGGTTTGGATCAGCACTTTTCCATGGGAAGAATCTCTATACTGTATATGTATACAATTTGTCCCTTTTTCTCCTCTCTCTCTCTGTGTGTTTTCCAGTCTCCATGGAATTTCTTCAGAACAGATTGTATGCAGTTGCTTTTTAAGCAGCTAAATGTGATATGTATATTTTGCTAATTATTCTTTCTACAAGGTTCAGACCAACTCCTGGCTATGGATCGATACTTTGCCCATAGAAGGCAAACACAGATACAACTTCTGCATTCTGCTGATGGAGTAAATAATCGGTTGTAACTGTATCATTTGCTTGGCTTGGAACAGAGCAGTGAGAAGGCTGGGACGGGTGGTAGGTGTGGGGTGGGGGTGGGGTAAAAATTCACCGTATATTTAATCTAAGTTGATTACATAGATACTATTGATCCTGTAATTGTTATCATGTCTAATCAATCAGATGCCTGCAGTACTTGTTGCCTCCACACATAGTTAATTTTTAGAGAGTAAGTAAGTAATGCGCCTATGAAATGTTCAGGGGAAAAAACCTACAGCAGCTGCCAAGTATCAAGCAGAGATCTGTATAAAACAAGATAAATAGTCAAAAGAAACACGTGCCTGCCCATTTTCCCGAAGATAACATGGTAGGCAGCGAGAAAGCAAGCGTTCTCCTCTCACCTCTTCCGTGGCCCATGGTCCTGAACAGAAATTGGGGCGTTGGTTCCCAGCAGTCTGTCCACTGTACCATGCACCTGACTGGCCCCAGGAGCGGGAAGGGCCCTGCTGTTTGTGTGAGGGCTTGCACCTGATGTGGAAGAGCCCTTTCTCTCCACTTGCTCCTGCAGTTCCAAGGGCAGAGAGAGCTGTGCGGGTGCCGGCTGCTGCATGGATGTGGTTGGGCCTGTTGGAGAGACCTTGTGTGGCCCATCAGCTGCATGCCCACCTGCTGTGTTGCTCTTTGCTTGGTCTGTCTGGCTCTGCACATCTTGATGGCTCCAAAACACCCTAGAAGGAACACACAGAAGGAACACACAGAGTGGCCATCTCTTCTATGTGCTTGTGCTCTTTGGACTCCCCATTGGTTGTCTTCCCTAGGTTAGACCCAGATAATAAGGCAGAGAGTTGGCAGGGTAGAGTCAGGCCCATAGGGAAGAGCTAATGGACACAGTATCTTCTCTCTTTATGTGGTGAAGAACTCTTCGCTCTGGCTGCAGACTGAATACCATGGAGCTCAATTGGGAATGCTTAGTTCCAAGCCCCCACCCCAAGTAATAGTCGTACTGGATTTTTTTTTTTATTTTTTATTTTTTGACAGGCAGAGTGGACAGTGAGAGAGAGAGACAGAGAGAAAGGTCTTCCTTTGCCGTTGGTTCACCCTCCAATGGCCGCCGCAGCCGGCGCGCTGTGGCCAGCACACCGCGCTGATCCGAAGGCAAGAGCCAGGTACTTATCCTGGTCTCCCATGGGGTGCAGGGCCCAAGGACTTGGGCCATCCTCCACTGCAGTCCCTGGCCACAGCAGAGAGCTGGCCTGGAAGAGGGGCAACCGGGACAGAATCCGGGGCCCTGACCGGGACTAGAACCCGGTGTGCTGGCGCTGCAAGGCGGAGGATTAGCCTAGTGAGCCGCGGCGCCGGCTCGTATTGGATGTTATGGCTCCTGATGGCTGGGGAAGTAGTCCCCGACTCCCAGGTGTTCTGTTTATACAGAGAATGCTTTCCTGCTCAGCCAGCTTGAGCCTTTTCAGGAACGACCTTGAAAGAACTGTAGGTAACTCAAAGTGACTGTCAAGTTGTACATCTCTGCTTTGGAGCATAGTTAAGCTACAGCCTGGCATTTTTCACCTGGCTTTTTGTTGAGCTCGTTCTGTCCTCTTAAGGGCAGCCTGGAAGCCCAGTGGCTAATGAAGAGGTATCCTGAGCTCCCCTGGGACAACTGTCCACTCATAGGTCCTTGAGAGTTTGTCATTACCTTGGAAGGAGTTGAAACTTCATTATTTTTTTTAAAAGCTTTTTTGGTTATGAATGCATGCATGGAATTTCTCAACAACCTTATGGTTGTGAAGAATTGATTGGCTGCCAAGGTATATGAATTTCAGCACCAGTTTTTCTGAAAATTCATGCAGCATGAAGTCAGCCTGTTGCAGGTAGTTGGGGCTGGGGAAGATGGAGAAGGTTTCGTGAATTGGTCTCGACTCCCACATCTCAAAACGTGTGCCTCCACAAGTCACATACCTTGTGTGTGACCACATTTTCAGGTTAATTGAGGGGAGAGGCAGGAGCCCCTGTGGGTTCGTTGTCTGCTATCTTTTCCTGCTGACTTGGGCAGGTGCCCAGACCAGAAGGTGCTTGTCTCAAGTCTCAGCTGTTTGGGTTTCAGGTGTTGGAATCCTGTATTGGAGGAGAGCAGTGGGTGTTGGTGATGGGGGACCAGAGCCTTATTACAAGCTGGCTGTTGTGTGGTACTCACCAGTGACCATCCCCCATCCCCCTTCCCTCTTGCTGTCGGATGCTGACATCCTACTTGGGTTGGTTTGATTAATGGCTCAACACCGCCGTGTGGCCTCCGTGTGCCTTCCTGAAAGTGAATTTCAATTACTTTTCTTTTTATTGAGAATGTTGTGACTCTTCCTCCACCTCTCAGATTCAAAACGGGGAAGCAATGGCAGACACAGAGGGGACGCTGCTCATCCCTGCCTGCCAATGAGGTCTGGAGACATTGGCCGCTGCTGTTAAGGCACCTGTGATTGTCCCAGTGGGATCTTTCTGTTGTGGGATCTTTCTGTCGTGGGCACTTGTGTGAAAGCATAGGCGTCTCTGCTCTTGCTCCGGGTGCACACCCTGTGGAGTTGTGACATGCCATTGTTCCTAACCTGTGTCCTGCTGAATGCTTTGGGAAGGGATGGCCACGGCAGGGGGTGGTGGTGATCAGAGAGGAAAGGGTAACTCCTTTCTGAATGCCTCCCGGTTTGGAGAAGGAAGCTCT